AAAAAAATCCAAAGTTCTCTGTGGACACTTTTTTCTATAGAAAAAAATTCCACAGAGGACTGTGGATTTTTTCTATAGAAAAAAATTGATTTTTCTATAAAAAAAATTCTCCTAAAATAGTCATATTTTATTACTTTCTTCTTTACTAAGTACTTCGTTAGAGTTTGGCCAAGATTTACATACAACAACAAAAAATAAATTGCTTGTAATACAAGTTTTTTTTCTGTGAGAGTCATTAACTAAACTGATAGACATTCGAACCGGTTTCCTCTTGGCTGGCTGGCTGGCATTCAACCAAAGTGTTGACTTCCGATTTTTATAACTTTTAATTACAATCATTTGCACATTTTATGCTCAATTAAAACTCAACTTATGGTTTGGTTTGATACAAGACACTTTAGCGCACACACATACACTCACACACACACACTGGTACAGATTAGTTTCAAGTTTTTGGCAGAGTCATCAGTATAATATGCTGATGAGGAGGATAGGTCAGGATAACCCTTTTCCGAGCTCAATGCAACAATGTCATTAAGAAAGGTTACAATCATTGCCATGGACTTGCAGGAAAATTTAGAGGACATTTATGACTGTTTAACCCCTTCTGTCCACAGGGTCCGTCCACTCAGTTCACCCCTTGCGCACTATCATATCACGTGTCTATGTTAAGCTAATTAAGTGTTATATTTATATAGGGTCATTAGCATATCCTTGCCAGTCAGCCAGCCTTCCATTCATTTATACCTTCTTGTCCTGCCTTGTGTGGTCCTTCAGTGCCCTTTTTAACCCCTTTGTTGACCCTTTTCTATCACCACAACATCACAACCTTAATTATTTTTTAGATAATCATAACTGGACCTCTCTCCGATTAAGTTATTGTCCGTCCGTATGATCAATGAATGAAGTATTTGCTTGGCTGGCTAGCTAATTTCCCACCCCTTTCCTCATTTTGTTTCGAGAAGGATGGACTTTACACTATGTGACGGGATTACCTAACCCCTCCTGCATAGTTTTTGTGGTTCACACACACACTTCATTTGTCAGTCTGTCTGTCTGTCCATCATTGTGCTGAGGGGCTGGAATAATTGTGGCTTCCTTTATGGTTAAACAGCAACAAATAATTATCCTTGCCGAACATGAAGTTTTTGTTTTCCGTAGAGAGGGAGAGTAGGGGAAAAAGTAGTTCCCAGGATCCGTTCAAAGGACACAATTCATTACTATTGTTGTTGTTGTATTTTAAAAAGTTAAAAGTACTGTTCAGTAGATAAAATCAGCATCATCGTCATCATCATCAGGAGTAGTAACCAGCCAGCTGAGTATCATCATCAGTAATTTGTGTGTGTATTGCCCGCCCATTAAACAGTAAAGCTATTCATCCTAAAAGTATGCTTGTAATTTGTAAAAATATAATTCCTCAATTGTGACTGAGATTCCTACCTCCTTTCACAGTCAAAGCAACTGGTGGCTTGGTTGGAGAAAAGCCATTCGAACACACACACACACACCCAATGATGTTTCGTAATTGTGGGTGGTTGTGTGTATTTCAATGTGTGAGTATCTGTGTATGTGTGCTCTCCAGAAGTTCAAAGTTAAATCAGTTCAGAATTCACAGTTCACAGCTCACTAAGAATGTAAAACAATATTCATCTTGGCACCCAGAACAGAAGCCACACCAGCTGGATGGATGAGAATCCTCCAACATCAGGCTGGAGCTCTAGACGACATCATCGTCATCATCAGGATTTTAGCATAAAACTCTTTAGAACCTTGGCTCTTGGCACACACACACACACACATACACACTCACACCTACCCGCAATGAGACATTTGCCACGACGACCGAAAAAGATTACCCTTCTACTAATAGAGGTTTTCCGCCCAAGTAAACTTTTGCAAACTGTTGCCACAGCCAATGTAAACACTCTATAGCCACCAGGACCAACAGTGGAAAATTTCGTCCTGGTTAGAGTAGACAAACGCCGGCATACATACCGCACAATTACCAATTCATGGTTAAACACAGAAGGATAGACAGATTCATGAGTCTCTCTCCGTTCACACAACCAAAAAAGGATAACTTACGTATCATCATCTGGTCTTCGTCTGTCTGTCTCTGTGTATTTGTCCGTCCCCCGAAAAATTATTACAAAGTCGTCTTATTAGATTAATGAAAATGTTTTGTAAACTGGCAAATATGCATTACAACCAACTTAAGATATGAATATTTAATTGTGTTATTGTTGTAGCAGTTGTTGTTGCTGTTGTCATTGTTGTTGTTGTTTTTGTTGTAGTTGTAAAGTCAAACATGTTGATATCCTTGTCAACATCGACCACCACCACCCCACCATCATCCTCACCACCAATCGTTAATGGCATTTGTAAAATTTCTCACACACAAACAAATCCTAAAAGTATGCAACAGAAATGGTATTTTAAACACCGCCCGCCTGGTTGATAGACAAGACAATATTTTTCATGGTAACAGAAATAAGTATCTTGAGGAGGAACAGATAATTTGTTCAAAATGATGTTATTAATTAACTCAATAGCACTTGAAATTTGATCCCAAGTACGTCTTAATAATTGGAGAAGGCAAAGCAGAGGGATGATAAGCCTAAAAGTAGACCACAAATTTTGTGGTCTAATTAAATATCATTTTTATTTAGCGATAAACAAATTAACACAGTAAATTATTTTTTTTCTACAGAAAAATGTGGGCACTTTTTTATAGAATCCACAGCCATTTGCGGACTTTTTTCTATAGAAAAAAATTCTGCAGCCCTCTGTGGATACTTTTTTTCTATAGAAAAAATTCCACAGCTCTCTGTGGTTACTTTTTTCTATCGAAAAGAATTCCACAGTTCTCTGTGGATGCTTTTTTTTATAGAAAAAAAAATCCACAGTTCTCTGTGGACTCTTTTTTCTATAGAAAAAAATTCCACAGACCTCTGTGGACTTTTTTTCTATAGAAAAATGTCAGGCCTCCTTTGGACTCTTTTTTTCTATAGAAAAAAATTCCACAGACCTCTGTGGACTCTTTTTTCTATAGAAAAAAATTCCACAGACCTCTGTGGACTCTTTTTTCTATAGAAAAAAATTCCACAGACCTCTGTGGACTCTTTTTTCTATAGAAAAAAATTCCACAGACCTCTGTGGACTCTTTTTTCTATAGAAAAAAATTCCACAGACCTCTGTGGACTCTTTTTTCTATAGAAAAAAATTCCACAGCCCTCTGTGGTTACTTTTTTCTATCGAAAAGAATTCCACAGCCCTCTGTGGTTACTTTTTTCTATAGAAAAAAATTCCACAGACCTCTGTGGACTCGTTTTTTCTATAGAAAAAAAATTCCACAGACCTCTGAGGACTCGTTTTTTCTATAGAAAAAAATTCCACAGACCTCTGTGGACTCGTTTTTTCTATAGAAAAAAATTATACAGCTCTCTGTGATTACTTTTTTCTATAGAAAAAAATCCACAGCCCTCTGTGGACTCTTTTTTCTATAGAAAAAAATTCCACAGACCTCTGTGGACTCTTTTTTCTATAGAAAAAAATTCCACAGACCTCTGTGGACTCTTTTTTCTATAGAAAAAAATTCCACAGACCTCTGTGGACTGTTTTTTCTATAGAAAAAAATTCCACAGACCTCTGTGGACTGTTTTTTCTATAGAAAAAAATTCCACAGACCTCTGTGGACTGTTTTTTCTATAGAAAAAAATTCCACAGTCCTCTGTGGACTCTTTTTTCTATAGAAAAAAATTCCACAGACCTCTGTGGACTCTTTTTTCTATAAAAAAAATTCCACAGACCTCTGTGGACTCTTTTTTCTATAGAAAAAAATTCCCCAGACCTCTGTGGACTCTTTTTTCTATAGAAAAAAAATTCCACAGCCCTCCGTGGATATGTTTTTCTATAGAAAAAAAATTCCACAGCCCTCTGTGGACTATTTTTTTCTATAGAAAAAATTCCGCATCCCTCTGTGGACTCTTTTTTCTATATAAAAAAATTCCACAGACCTCTGTGGACTCTTTTTTCTATAGAAAAAATTCCACAGCCCTATGTGGATACTTTTATACTATAGAAAAAATTCCACAGCCTTCTGTGGATACTTTTTTCTATAGAAACAATTCCAACGCCCTCTGTGGATACTTTTTTCTGTAGAAAAAAAATCCATAGAACTCTGTGGATACTTTTTTCTATAGAAAAAAAAATCCACAGCCCTCAGTGCATCCTTTTTTCTATAGAAAAAAATTCCACAACCCTCTGTGGATACTTTTTTCTATAGGAAAAAAATTCCACAGACCTCTGTGGATACTTTTTTCTATAGGAAAAAAATTCCACAGACCTCTGTGGATTCTTTATTCTATAGAAAAAAATTCCACAGACCTCTGTGGACTCTTTTTTCTATAGAAAAAAATTCCACAGACCTCTGTGGACTCGTTTTTTCTATAGAAAAAAATCCAATGCCCGCTGTTAACTCTTTTTTCTATAGAAAAAAATCCACAGCCCTTGTTTACAGAAAAAAAATCAACAGTTCTCTATAGACACTTTCCTCATATTACTGAGGATTTTTTAATATGGTACTTTTTTCCCGGAACCATTTGTGGAGCTTCTTTGCGAAACTCCTTGTGGTCCTGATTTATACTTATTTCAAACATTATATGCAGCATACATTTAGGATGATAACAAAAATCTGGTCGTAATTTCTTTGTGAAATTTAAATATTAAATTAAAAATTATTTTCTAAAGGATTTAAAACAAAGAAGAAGAGGCTAATAAGAAGGACTTTGTGTTCATTTGTGTCTCTTACAAAAAGAAAATTAAAACAAAAAATATATATTAAGTGAAGATAAAAATGCTATTCTTGGATAGTTGATGAACATTGAGGTTCTCTCCAAAAAAATTCCAAATATCCTTAATGTGAAAAGGACAGTATTATGAACTACAATCAAAATTTAAAACAGGAAAGTAAAGAAACAACAACAACTGAAATCCCTAAAATGGCTCCTTCAACCCAGGACTCCAACGAAATCGGAAATCCAGAGAAGTGGGAGACCAATTGGCAGACGACTAGTGGGATGGCTTCCCCAAAAGTGCCTTCAAGTGATACCGAAAATACTGAAATACCAGCAATGGGCTCTCCTGAACCTTCACCACAAGATACCGCGAAACAAGAACCGCATTTCGTAAAACTAAATACCGCAGAGAAACGACGCTTCAAAAAGGCCTTGGCTGAGGGTCTTAGCCGTAAAGAAGCCTTGGAAAGAGCCAAAAAGCCAGAAGAACGAAAATATCCGCTAAAAAGAAATTTTACTGCTGAAAGATATTCTAGAGAATCAATCAAGAAATCTCGTCTAGAATCCTGCACCATAAATATGGGTTTAATGCCTCGGGATCTCTATCAAAATCCCTTTACCACCGAAGATTTGGATAGGCTTCAAGAAGCCATCATAGATGCTGCCATTGAGACGGGTTGTGAAATAAAACCACAATTTAAGGGATGCCATCCACGGCGAGGCTGGCTTATGGTCAGCTGTAGTAATGCAAATACTGCAGAGTGGCTTCAAATGAATGTAGATATTATAAAAAGTAAATCTGATTTAGATTTGCAAATCATTGAGGAGGCAGATTTTCCTCAAACCTATTATGTCCATGGCACATTTCCCAATAGTCAAGGTTTGGCCAATTTCAAAATCTTGGGTACAATTGAGGCACAAAATCAACTGAAAGCCACCTCATGGAGAGTTTTACAACGAAAATGGTCGGAGGGCTCAAATGTGGAACTATCCCTGGCAGTCGACAAAAAATCATGGCAAGAGTTGAGGAAAATCAAGGGTCACATTGCCTATCGATTTGGTCACATCCATTTGAAATTGCAGCAAAATCACGAAAAGTCTTCTCACAAAAGGTCAGGATATTCGGAAAAGCCTTCACCGGATTCCGTAAGACATTCAACAAGTCAAAAATTCACAGAAAGAAAGTCTTCAAATGAAACATCCACATTTTCGGAATATTCTTCTCAAGATTTCTCAGGACCCTCAACAAGTCAAGAAGCCAGCTCGAGGAATTTCTACAGCAGTTCTTACAACCAGACTCAAAGCAGAAACCCTTTTGCTTCCCCCGAGCCAATTTTTAGCACTGCTCCAGCCTGGTCACAGCCACCACCACAAGCTCTGTTGCCACAATTTTCCCAACAAAATCGTTCATGGCAAGGTGACGCCTCAATCCAAAGATTCTCCTCACATGAGGCTTCCAGAAGACCCTCCTCTACAAATATCCACAATTCACAACTGCCTTACAATCGCCGTGACGACCATTCTCAATCACGAGATCGTCATTATAGTAGATAAAACCACACACAATGCCTTAACAGAAGGTGGATTACCCAGCCAGAATCCCACATTTTGGAAGACCCCATGTAATATATTTTCTGCAGTGTGCAATAATCACAACAACGATTTCCATGTAACATTGTGCCTTCAATAAGTTCCTGAGTTCGCGGTCTGATGTTGTTCATTTTTGTCAGGACACCCTAAATTAATGGTAAGTGTTCGACCCATTTTTTTCTTAGTACTATTTTTTACCCGAAGAGGAAAAAGATTATTTTGATCCCCCTCTTCACAATAAAATATTAAAGCCAACGTGGGCTACTCAAAAAAATTGAACAAATAACATGTTTTGAATCAGTCAGCTGATGAGCAGCAAAGGGCTCCTAAAAGTATGCAGCACACATATACATATTTATAATGTATACAATTAAAAGATAACACATAATAGATAATAGATAAACCATATTTTCCATAGAAAAAGAGTCCTCCAAACTTCGAGATATTTTTACGAACAAAAGAGTTTTCTGAAAACGAAGCAATTTTTTCTGTACAAAAAAAGTGACATCTGGTGAGAGAATTTTTTCTATAAAAAAAGTTAAATGGAAGAGACGATTTTGATCTCCCGCTTAAAAAAAATCTAAGCCAATGTGGGCTCATCGAAAAAAAAAAACTACAGAAAAAACATGTTTTGAACTAGTCTGCTGATGAGCAACAAAGACTCCTAAAAGTATGCAACACACACAACGATAATAGAAGAAGAGGCTAAAATATTTTTCATAGAAAAAGATTACTCAGTGAACTGAGGAATTTTTTTCTATAGAAAAAAGTCACCTCAGTGAACTGAGGAATTTTTTTCTATAGAAAGAAGTCACCTCAGTGAACTGAGGAATTTTTTTCTACAGAAAAAAGTCACCTCAGTGAACTGAGGATTTTTTTTTCTATAGAAAAAAGCCACCTCAGTGAACTAAGGAATTTTTTTCTATAGAAAAAAGCCACCTCAGTGAACTGAGGATTTTTTTCTATAGAAAAAAGCCACCTCAGTTCACTGAGGAATTTTTTTCTATAGAAAAAAGCCACCTCAGTGAACTGAGGAATTTTTTTTCTATAGAAAAAAGCCACATCAGTGAACTGAGGATTTTTTTTTCTATAGAAAAAAGCCACATCAATGAACTGAGGATTTTTTTTCTATAGAAAAAAGCCACCTCAGTGAACTGAGGAATTTTTTTCTATAGCAAAAAGCCACCTCAGTGAACTGAGGAATTTTTTTCTATAGAAAAAAGTCACCTCAGTGAACTGAGGAATTTTTTTCTATAGAAAAAAGTCACCTCAGTGAACTGAGGAATTTTTTTCTATAGAAAAAAGTCACCTCAGTGAACTGAGGAATTTTTTTCTATAGAAAAAAGTCACCTCAGTGAACTGAGGAATTTTTTTCTATAGAAAAAAGTCACCTCAGTGAACTGAGGAATTTTTTTTCTATATAAAAAAGTCACCTCAGTGAACTGAGGAATTTTTTTTCTATAGGAAAAAAATCACCTCAGTGAACTGAGGAATTTTTTTCTATAGAAAAAAGTCACCTCAGTGAACTGAGGAATTTTTTTCTATAGAAAAAAGTCACCTCAGTGAACTGAGGAATTTTTTTCTATAGAAAAAAGTCACCTCAGTGAACTGAGGAATTTTTTTCTATAGAAAAAAGTCACCTCAGTGAACTGAGGAATTTTTTTCTATAGAAAAAAGTCACCTCAGTGAACTGAGGAATTTTTTTCTATAGAAAAAAAGTCACCTCAGAGAACTGAGGAATTTTTTTCTATAGAAAAAAAGTCACCTCAGAGAACTGAGGAATTTTTTTCTATAGAAAAAAAGTCACCTCAGTGAACTGAGGAATTTTTTTCTATAGAAAAAAGTCACCTCAGTGAACTGAGGAATTTTTTTCTATAGAAAAAAGTCACCTCAGTGAACTGAGGAATTTTTTTCTATAGAAAAAAGTCACCTCAGTGAACTGAGGATTGTTTTTTCTATAGAAAGAAGTCAGCTCAGTGAACTGAGGATTTTTTTCTATAGAAAAAAAGTAACAGTGACAGTAACACTGAGGACTCTTTTTTCTATAGAAGAAATTTTTTCTACTGAGGATTTTTTTTTCTATAGAAAAAAAGAGTCCTCAGTGTTACTGAGGAATTTTTTTTCTATAGAAGAAATTTTTTTTACTGAGGAATTTTTTTTTCTATAGAAAAAAGAGTCCTCATTGTTACTGAGGAATTTTTTTCCTATAGAAAAAAGAGTCCTTAGTGTTACAGAGGATTTTTTTCTATAGAAAAAAGATGACTCTTTTTTCTATGCTGAGGATTTTTTTTTCTATAGACAGAGCCCTCAGTGGTACTGACGATTTTTTTCTATAGAAAAAAAGAGTCTTCAGTGGTACTGAGGAATTTTTTCTATAGAAAAAAAAAGAGTCCTCAGTGGTACTGAGGAATTTTTTCTATAGAAAAAAAATATGAAGTAGTTCCACTAAGGATTTTTTTTTACTATAGAGAAAAATTCCTCAGTACCACTGAAGATTTTTTTACATAAAAATTCCTTAGTCTCACTGAGGACTGCTGGAAACCCATAAGACCACAGGATAATCTAGGTGATGTGGTATTGAATACAAAAGAGAGAGAAAAAAAAAAAACATTTTTAAAAATAATTGTTCATTAACTCTTGTATTGTTTTACACCAGCATTTTGTTAGTGGATTGGTGGCGGGATACATTTCCATATTCTAGAATTTATATAACCTTCATTCGAAAGCGGAGATTGACAGGCGGGTCTGCTCTGATCACTGACAATGGCCAACAATGGATGGTGGGTCACTGCAGCAACTACTACTACAGACATAGTCAACAACAAAAAAGCTTATGTATTTGTTTTTTTTAAATATTACATATATATATATATATATATGTATGTGCGTGTGTATGTACCAGTGTAGTGTTGTATGATGTACAACTGGACAATATGAATTTGATATATATTTCTACTTCTTGGTCATAGTTTTTCGTTTCCACTCTACTGCTGCCGATGTCCTTTTTTCTATTGTGATTTTTTTTCTTGTCGTCCTGATTCAGATTTTTTTAACTTCTGTGTATTTTGTTGGAAGCCAAAAGTTTTTTTGTCAGGTTCCTTGGAAAACATAACAAAAATCCTGCAGTGCTAAAAAAGTTTGTCTCCTCTCAAGACATCCCCAGCAGCCGATGTTAGAGGTAGGAGGTCGGGTTTCCAGATTTTTTTTCTTACTATGAGAGGTGTTTGGGTGTCCATTTTTTTTAACGAAAAGAAAGGTTGGGGTTCCATTTTTTTAACTAATCTCAAAACTGCGGGTAGTTAGCATCCTTCTGAGTTGCTCCTCGCCTTCAGATATCCAGGGCAGCACCCCACATGAATCCTTAGTGTTTCTTTCAGACCATAATGTTGTTGCTGGTCCATCGGGTTATATACTCCACTCCTCTATACATAGTTTCTATATTTTTCTATTTTTTTTTTTTCGGAACACAACATTCATTAACAACTACAATGATATCTGGCGGCGACCAAACCCGTTCCATTACCTCCAACAACGGACAACATTTGTCTCTGTTTGGATATGTGTGTGTGTGAGTGTATTGGTGTGTCTTTCTGACATGCTGTTTCTTTCACTCACATTTATTTCTGCTTGCCATTTTTTTGTTTCCCCTTCCTTCTTACAAAAATCAACAGAGTGTTGATTTTTTTTCTGGACCTGGTTTTTTGCATATCATTTTTTTCCAAAGGATGCTTTCCATTTGCATCCTTCTCTTCCGTCGTGGATGTCGTCTAAACTTTCATCTTTGTGTCCAGGCTCTTGGCTTTGGTTGGGCAGCAAGTGTAAACTAATGAAGCCTTTTCTTCGTTTGTCTTCTACTAGTTTGGTTCTGTTTTATTTTATTTTTTCTATTCAACTGGCCACACAAATCGCCCAGGACAACGATACACGGCGGACATAACTCGTCTCGTCGTCTATTGTTGGCTGCTGAGTCCTTTCGTTTTTTTTTCGCCAACCTCTATTACCATTTCTCCTCAGTTGTTCTCCTCCTGAAGAGGTTATTACTACTATTGTATCACGTTCCTGTGTGTGTGTCCGGGTATGTGTTTTGTGTTCCAGCTGCTGACCATCAGTGCAAGGAGTCCTTCCTTTAGTTTTGCATTCGAAAAAACTTACAAAGTTTTGCTGCTAATATCCTTCCACCTAGTTCGCCGTCGCCATCTCGTTATCGTGGTGGTGGCATGCTAATCCCGCCCCATAAATGTTATGCAAATGTTGAAGAAGGCTGAAGGAGGTAGGGGTGCAGGATCTCTGCATTAAATACCATTTTTTTACCATCCATTTTGCCACAAAACTTGGGTACACACTTCTCGTATTTCTTTGCCAACAACACTTAGACCCCTTTCCACCATTTTTTTTGCACATTTACAGCCACTTCTCAACATCGAACCGACAGGAGAAGATACTTCGTGGAGGTAGACGTCATCATTCCTGGCAATTTCTTCTTCCTTTGGTGGCTCAACCCTCCTGAAGTTTTTTTTTTTTTCGAACTTAAAAAAGTGGTAGGAGAGGTAGAGGTAATATGGACCTCTTATCCTTAGTCAGTCTTAGGAAAGAGTTGGCCACTTTTAATCCCTAAGCCTTGCCTACCCTGCCCTCCTCCCTGGGCCTGTATTTAGACTAGTTAGTATACAAGCCATCCAAACCTCTTCTTTCTCCTCCTATACATACCTCGTTTTTTTAATAGTGAAAAAATATAGTTGTAGTGTTTTTTTCTCGGTTGGATGTGGGGTGACAATGAATCCGATGCTGAGGCTGGTGATGCTCTTCTCTTGACTGCTGACAACAATCACAACATTATTCTATACATATTCATTTTTTAAGATTCATGTAAAGGCGATGATGTGTGTGTGAGTGGAGAAGGTGTTTGGTTCGGTTCTCTGGGTGTTTGGAGTATTGGTTTGGGGGAGGGCATTAGTTCCCCTAAGTGTTTCAAATATTCAAAATCTTTGCTTGGATTTCGAAGAGTACTTCTTCAAATCTTTTTTGTATTTTTTGGGTTATTGCTTCTATTTTTATTTCCCCAAACCTGATATATTGCAATTTCTTCGAAATCGAATTTGGTTAATGGGAGGAGCTAAAAAAATAATGTAATACGATTTAAAAAAATATATGTATCGATGTTTTTTTTTAAATAAAAACAATATATTCTTCATTATAATTTACAAAAAAAAAAAAAAATCCATTTGATCCGCTAAACACCGACCACTCTTCATAAAAAGAGCAATACTTGCTCCTTGCTCAGATCCATTTTTTCGTGTAGAATTTCATGATATAGGAGTCATAATTGCAGACATGCCAATCAGCTTCGATCATTTCTCCGATTTTATCGACATTTTCGATGACCGGCCTTATGGATTTCCTTTTCCTCAAACCTAATATTATTCAATCATTTCCAAAAACAATAGGGGTTTTCTGTGGTCCGACCTCAACGTGCAAGCAAAATTTCGTGACAATTGCTACATAAGTGTGGCCTGTACCGGGTTTAGAAATAATAATGGATAAACAGGTAACACACGACTCATCTAATCGAGATATGATCGGCATATACGATGCTATACAAAAAAATTCGCAGATCACGATCTGTCGAAAAAAGCAGCTACCATTTAAATGCAAAGGAGTAGCTACCATAGCAGAACCAAAACGGAGGGAATTTGAATGGAAAGGAGGAGCTACCATAATGGAACCCAAAATGAGGAAATTTCAATGGAAATTAGTAGCTACTCTAAAAGAACCCAAAAGGGAAGGAGTAGCTACCATAATAGAACCCATATGGGAAAATTTTCAATGTAAAGGAGTAGCTACCATAACAGAACTCGAATGGGATTCTTTTTACCCAAATACACACACAACGGTAAAAAATTTGTTTGGAACCAAATGAAGAAATTTCAATGGAAAGGAGTAGCTACTATAACAGAACCGAAAAAGGATTTTTTTTCAATCATTTCTTCGATTTTATCGACATTTTCGACGACCGGCCTAATGAATTTCTTTTTCCCCCAACCTAATATTAGCCAATCATTTCCAAAAATAATAGGGGGTTTTCTGTGGTCCGAACTCAACGTATATGCAACATTTCGTGTGGCCTGTACGGAGTTTAGAAATAATAATGGACAAACACGACTCATCTAATCGAGATATGATGATCGGCATATACGATGTTATGAAAAAAATTCACAGACACCGATCTGTCGAAAAGAACAACTAACGACGGGGGATATTTAAATGCAAAGGATGGAAGGAGCAGCTACCATAGCAGAACTCAAAGGAGGGAAGTCGAATGGAAATTATGAGCTACCATAATGGAACCCAAAATGAGAAATTTCAATGGAAATTAGCAGCTACTCTAAAATAACCCAAAAAGGAAGGAGGAGTAGCTACCATAATAGAACCCGAATAAGAACATTTGATTGGAAAGGAGTAGCTACCATAATAGAACCCAAATGAAGAAACTTGAATGGAAAGGAGTAGCTACCATAACAGATCCGAAAAAGATTTTTTTCTCTAAAAATACCACGGCCTGTCTATAGGAGCAGGTATCATCATAGCAGAATCAACAGGAGGAAGTTTTAATGAAAAGGAGTAGCCAGTGCCCAAAAGGCGGAATTTGTTTGGAAAAGATTAGCTACCATAACTGGACTCGAAACGGGATTTCCTAATGGGCCTGAGAATAGTTTTCTATAGAAAAAAAGTGCCACAGACCTAGGGGTCTGTGAATTTTTTTCTATAGAAAAAAGTGCCACAGACCCTTTGGGGTCTGTGAATTTTTTTCTATAGAAAAAATGTGCCACGAAGCTTTTGGGGTCTGCGATTTTTTTTCTATAGAAAAAAGTCCCACAGACCTTTTGGGGTCTGTGAATTTTTTCTATAGAAAAAATGTGCCACAGACCTGGGGGTCTGTGAATTTTTTTCTATCTATAGAAAAAAGTGCCACAGACCCTTTGGGGTCTGTGAATTTTTTTCTATGGAAAAAATGTGTCACAGACCTGGGGGTCTGTGAATTTTTTTCTATGGAAAAAATGTGCCACAGACCTGGGGGTCTGTGAATTTTTTTCTATAGAAAAAGTACAACAGACCCTTTGGGGTCTGTGAATTTTTTTCTGTAGAAAAAAGTCCCACAGACCTTCTGGGGTCTGTGAATTTTTTCTATTTTTTCTATAGAGAAAAGTTCCACAGACCTTCTGGGGTCTGTGAATCTTTTTCTATAGAAAAAAAGTCCCACAGACCTTCTGGGGTCTGTGAATTTTTTTCTATAGAAAAAAAGTCCCACAGACCTTCTGGGGTCTGTGAATTTTTTCTATAGAAAAAAAGTGCCACAGACCTAGGGGTCTGTGAATTTTATTCTATAGAAAAAAGTGCCACAGACCTGGGGGTCTGTGAATTTTTTTCTATAGAAAAAAAGTGCCACAGACCTGGGGGTCTGTGAATTTTTTTCTATAGAAAAAAAGTGCTACAGACCTGGGGGTCTGTGAATTTTTTTCTATAGAAAAAAAGTGCCATAGACCTGGGGGTCTATAGAAAAAAGTGCCACAGACCTTTTGGGGTCTGTGAATTTTTTTCTATAGAAAAAAGTGCCACAGACCCTTTGGGGTCTGTGAATTTTTTTCTGTGGGACTTTTTTCTATAGAGAAATTTTTCTCTATAGAAAAAAGTCCCACAGACCGCCTTTTCCGCTATCCGATAGAACATGAAAATTCTCAAAATTTGTTATCTTGAATTGAAAAATATCTTCCTCACCTTAAATCCGTTGCCACCTTCTAATGTCGTTTCTTTCAAAAATGTTTTTAGTTTTTTTGGTTCCCTCAGCCTTCATCGTTGTTCAGGTTGTTGTTGTTGTCGTTTTCATTTTCTGTTTTAATCGCTGACTATGCAAAGTTTCCATTAAAAAAGAGCGCGACGACATTGATGATAAGCCCGGCGTAACGGTTTGTTGTGGCTCCACCTCCTACAACTCCTGCTGCTGCTTCTTCTTCTTCTCACTAGTCGTGATGGCAGCTGCTGAGCCAGGGATTTGTCTTTCTCATTTAAATCTTCTTCCAAAGGAAGCAAGGAAGGATATACATTAGAGTAAGTGTGGGGTGGGTGGTAGCTGCAAATGATATATGTGGTGTGTGTGTCCGTGGGTCGGATCCTGTCTGTTGCACAATACCTGCTGCTCCTTGCTACCTCTGCTGTTGTATTGCAATGTCGTCGTATCTCAGATTTAATTACAATTCTTTTTCGGTGGATAATCGAATTTTTTTCCTCTCCAGTGCCGTTACGTTGCGTTACGTTTCTCCTTACCTAGGACCTGTTTTTCACATCGATATCCTTACGTTATTTTTTTCATTTTTTATTGCTGTTGTTGTTTGTTAGTTTACATTCGATTTCCGTTGGGCTGTTCTATGAAATCTCCAGTCATCATCAGCAACCACACTCCTCATCTCTAGATCCTTGTGTTGTTGTGGTCCTTGCCTTGGGTATTTGTTACGTGTTTTTTGCATTTTTTTATTTTCTTCTACCTCTACTCCTTTGGAGGCCATATCTCTTTGGGCTAAGGTGGCTGCTGGGCACTATCAAGGATTTGTTGTTGTAAGTTTTCTAACATTGCTACAGCAACAAACAACAACAACATCGGTGTTGTTATTATTTGGTTGCTGTGTTGTTTTCTTTCTTCTTCTCAATCCCACTTGGCTTCACACTGCATGGCTGAGATTCAGCTGCTCTTGCTGCCCTGCTGTCGATGATGATGCATTGTTTTGTAGCTTCTCATGAGCCTTGTCCCCCTATAGTTTCAATATCTTCTCCCTATCATCTATCTCAGACCCCACCGCCTTGGTTGCGTTAGAAATCTCAACAAACCACTGAAGCTATCTCTGCTCCATCCATCCATTTTTTTTTTGCCTCCGACTAGGTATTCAAATCATCAGGCATTTTTTCATGCCATTGGTTTGAAGCCACTGCATTTTTTTAGTAGCGAAAAAACCAAAGGCAGATTTTTATTCATTGCCATTTCATTCTCGTTGTCATTTGGAATTTTTTGTCGTTGTTGTTGTTTTTTTGTCTTTCTCCCCATGTAACATCCTGCCAAGCTTTCCTTCCTTCCTGTGCAATTAAGTTTTGAATTTCAATGATTATTTATACGAGGAGAAGAATAAGGAGGATGACTTTTTCTTGTTGGATTTTTTTATTATCGGGTATATATCTAGGGTGAGTTATGGGATCTACAAATGGATCCAACTTCTAAAATCGAAAGTTAAGTCCTCTAAACAAACCCATATATAATAAGGGGTCAATCAAAGGTTGGCCCACAATTTTCCGAATATTTTCTTTTTCCATTTTTTTCTTTTCTTATTACTCCGCCAACTGACCATTTTATTTTTCTCTTTGCAGGTAAGCGATTGTTAATCAAAATATATAACCTCTAAAGAATTTATATATGTAAGTACTGATTATCATATCTTATCTAATTTTGTGGATAAAAAATTTAAGAAAAAACTTCGTAGACATAAAATTGTGTAGAAAAATGTCCATAGAAAAAATTTCCAGACCCAAGCCTATAAAAAAATATTCTCAGACCTCGATCTGGTGTTTTTTTCTATAGAAAAAAATTCGTAGACCTCAGTCAGACCCAAGCCTATAAAAAAGTATTCTCAGACCTCGATCTGGTGTTTTTTTTTTCTATAGAAAAAAATTCTCAGACCTCGATCTGGTGTTTTTTTCTATAGAAAAAAATTCACAGAACTCGGTCTGGTACTTTTTTCTATAGAAAAAAATTCACAGACCTCGGTCTGGCATTTTTTTCTGCAGAAAAAAATTCACAGACCCCGGCATTTTTTTCTAAAGAAAAAAATTCACAGACCTCGGTCTGGCATTTTTTTCTAAAGAAAAAAATTCACAGACCTCGGTCTGGTACTTTTTTCTATAGAAAAAAATTCACAGACCTCGGTCTGGTACTTTTTTCTATAGAAAAAAATTCACAGACCTCGGTCTGGTACTTTTTTCTATAGAAAAAATTTGCCAGACCCAAGTCTGGTACTTTTTTCTATAGAAAAAATTGCCACAGACCTCGGTCGGGTACTTTTTTCTATAGAAAAAAAATTCTCAGAACTCGGTCTGGTACTTTATACAAAAAAATTCTCAGACTTCGGTCTGGTACTTTTTTCTATGAAAAAAATTTATTAGTCCTCGGTCCGGTACCAGAAAAAAAAATTGCCAAACCCAAGTGTGGTACTTTTTTTGTAGAAAAAAATTCTCAGACGCCTAGGTCTGTGGCACTTCTTTTCTATGGAAATTTTAAAAATTTTGCACTTTTTTCTATTGGAAAAAATTCACAGACCCCAAAAGGTATGTGGGACTTTTTTCTATTGGAAAAAAAATCACAGACCCAAAGATCCCTTTCAAGCTCAGTTGTGGAAGCTACTCTTTTCCATTTAAACTTCCCCCTGTTGGTTCTGCTATAATGATACCTGCTTCTTTAGACATACTAGGTATTTTTAGAGAGAAAAAAATCTTTTTCGGTTCTGTTATAGTAGCTACTCCTTTCCATTGAAATTTCTTCATTTGGGTTCTATTATGGTGGCTACTCCTTTCCAATCAAATTTTGTATCGATGTGTGTGTATTTGGGTAAAAAGAATCCCTTTCGGGTTCTGTTATGGTAGCTACTCCTTTCCATTGAAATTTTCCCATTTGGGTTCCTTTTTTTCTATAGAAAAAAATCTCAGGCCTCAGTGTGGTACTTTTTTCTATAAAAAAAAATTCTCAGACATCAGTCTGGTACTTCTATCTATAGAAACAAATTCTCACACCCCTAGGTCTGTGGCACTTCTTTTCTATGGAAATTTCAAAAATATGTGTTTCCGTCCGTATACCTGTTTGTCCATTATTATTTGTAAACTAAATACAGGCCACACTTATGTAGCATTTGTCACGAAATTTTACATGCACGTTGAGTTCGGACCAAAGAAGACCCCCTATTGTTTTTGGAAATGATTGGCTAATATTAGGTTGGGGAAAAAAAGAAATCCATTAGGCCTGTCGTCGAAAATGTCGATAAAATCGGAGAAATGATCGAAGCTGATTGGCATGTTAGCAGTCGTAACTTCGCCCCGGAGTTGTTCGCTCCAGAGTCTACAATTATGACTCCTACATCATGAAATTCTACACGGAGAAATAGGTCTGAACAAGGAGCAAGTATTGGCTCTTTTTATGAAGAGCGGTCGGTGCTTAGCGGTTTAGAAAAAAATCGTAGACCTCAGTCGGATATTTTTCCCTATAGAAAAAAATTCGTAAACCTCAGTCGGAGATTTGTTTCTATTGAAAAAATTCGTAGACCTCAGTCTGAGATTTTTTTCCAATAGAAAATAATCATAGGGTAGACATCGGCCTGGTACTTTTTCTCTATAGAAAAAAACTCCAGACCCAAGTCTGGTACTTTTTTTCTTCTTAGAAAAAAATCTCTCTGTTTTTTTCGATAATTACAAGTTCCCATCTCTGCCTATGTGGTCATTGTGAGAGAGCGTCATCGATTTAATGACGCCGCAACCAACATTTATTTAATTCTTTTTTTCTGAGTCGTGGTTTCATTTGTATTGGTAAGTGACTGTCTGTCAAAGGTGTGCGAGTGTGTGTGTGTGTGTCGCTGTGCCGGTATTTCACTGTCTGTGGTAGTCCATCAAAATCCCATAGTCACTACCTATTCTTTGCTGGCAATGACTTCGAAGTATGTTGTTGTACCCATAGTGTTGTTGTTGTTGCCGTTGTTGTCAGAGTCATTTTTTTCTTCTCGAAGTAAGACTTTAATTGTAAAGACACGGTTTTGGGTTTCCGTAGCTAATAAGCCATCATGCCAGTCAGCCCCTCAGCCAGCCTAATCTCTCACATCGCTGATTATGGTGAGAGGCCAGAGAGGTTGCCAACGTGCATTTTTTATAATGTGGGGAAGTGAATAGGGGGAATGTTTGAGAAAAAAATTAAATAAAATTTCTAAAATAAATTTCAAGATTTTAAATCCCGATTTGAACTAATTTTCTATTTAAATTTTTAGTAGTTCGGGAGGTCTTGGCAACCCTGCTATGTTGACCAACATTCACACCACCAACCACCCTGTCATATGAATTAAATTTAGTTATTTGTTGTTCATCAACACCCTGCTGTAAACGAAGTAGTTTTTAGTTCGACATCGTTTCCGTCATTGTCGGTTTTTGGCAACAAACTACACTTACACACACACCCAAGCGCACACACACACCCATACATATCCGAACTTTTAGCCAACTACTACTAATTGCTGTAAAACACACCAAACGAACGAATGCTGGAAACCGATGCGGGATACGATGAACGAATGACTGATTTTCGGTGAAAATGAATTGTCGAACGACGACGAATCATATTTCTCGGATTTGGAAAACCGACACGATGGCGATGATGACGACAAAACTAGCCAACTATTGATGGAGACGAATGGATGATGACGACGATTTTAGTTATAAGAACTTCAATTGGTCGCCCTATATTTTATAGAGAAACGTTTCAGGGTGACCATAGAAGAAAATATGGAAATATGAGATGCCAAGGTCTTAGATACGAAGAAGACTTTCCTTCGAAAAAAATTTAAAATATTGCTTTCGGAAATTTGAAAGAAAAAACTCATTAAGGCTGGACGGACGGTAAAGCAGGTAGCTGGCTTATAAGCCTTAATGTCTTGTTGGCTAAATGGGTATGGGTATGTGTGTGTGAGCCAAGTCAAAGACACTTGTAAGCAATGTTATTCGACCGCAAAATTGTTGTTCCCTTCACAAAAAATTACTTTGCCACAAGTGGTGGTTCTCTTACACAATTATTCTCACTCCCTTTTTAACCAAGACAGAGAGAGAGAGAGTGGCTTAAATCGAAACAGGTAGACAATTTTCTCAATTTGATGGTCTTATCAAAAAATCATAAATTTTGATTTATGAGCGACAATAAAAATAGAAAGAGACAGAATGATACAAATTAAAAAATATGGGATATCAACTTGATCGGAATATTTTTTCTATAGAAAAAAAACACAGACCGAGGTCTGAGAATTTTCTCTATAGAAAAAAAACCACTGACCGAGGTCTGACAATTTTTTACTATAGAAAAAACCACAGACCGAGGTCTGTGAATTTTTTTCTATAGAAAAAAACAACAGACCGAGGTCTGTGAATTTTTTTCTATAGAAAAAAACAACAGACCGAGGTCTGTGAATTTTTTTCTATAGAAAAAAACAACAGACCGAGGTCTGTGAATTTTTTTCTATAGAAAAAAAACAACAGACCGAGGTCTGTGAATTTTTTTCTATAGAAAAAAACCACAGACCGAGGTCTGAGAATTTTTTTCTATAGAAAAAAACAACAGACCGAGGTCTGTGAATTTTTTTCAATAGAAAAAGAACCACAGACCGAAAAAAAACCACTGACCGAGGTCTGACAATTTTTTCTATAGAAAAAAAAAACCACTGACCGAGGTCTGACAATTTTTTCTATAGAAAAAAAACCACTGACCGAGGTCTGACAATTTTTTTCTATAGAAAAAACCACAGACCGAGGTCTGAGACTGAGGTCTACGAATTTTTTTCTATAGAAAAAAATCTCCGACTGAGGTCTACGAATTTTTTTCTATAGAAAAAAATCTCCGACTGAGGTCTACGAATTTTTTTCTATAGAAAAAATTTCCGACTGAGGTCTACGAATTTTTTTCTATAGAAAAAAATCTCCGATTGAGGTCTACGAATTTTTTTCTATAGAAAAAAATCTCCGACTGAGGTCTACGAATTTTTTTCTATAGAAAAAATCTCCGGCTGAGGTCTACGAATTTTTTTCTATAGAAAAAAATCTCCGACTGAGGTCTACGAATTTTTTTCTATAGAAAAAAATCTCCGACTGAGGTCTACGAAAAAAATCTCCGACTGAGGTCTACGAATTTTTTTCTATAGAAAAAAATCTCCGACTGAGGTCTACGAATTTTTTTCTATAGAAAAAAATCTCCGACTGAGGTCTACGAATTTTTTTCTATAGAAAAAAGTCGCAGACTGAGGTTTACGAATTTTTTTCTATAGAAAAAATCTCCGACTGAGGTCTACGAATTTTTTTCTATAGAAAAAAATCTCCGACTGAGGTCTACGAATTTTTTTCTATAGAAAAAAATCTCCGACTGAGGTCTACGAATTTTTTTCTATAGAAAAAAATCTCCGACTGAGGTCTACGAATTTATTTCTATAGAAAAAAATCTCCGACTGAGGTCTACGAATTTATTTCTATAGAAAAAAATCTCCGACTGAGGTCTACGAATTTTTTTCTATACAAAAAAATCTCCGACTGAGGTCTACGAATTTTTTTCTATAGAAAAAAATCTCCGACTGAGGTCTACGAATTTTTTTCTATAGAAAAAAATCTCCGACTGAGGTCTACGAATTTTTTTCTATAGAAAAAAATCTCCGACTGAGGTCTACAAATTTTTTTCTATAGAAAAAAATCTCCGACTGAGGTCTACGAATTTTTTTCTATAGAAAAAATATCCGACGGAGGTCTACGAATTTTTTTCTATAGAAAAAAAAATCCGACTGAGGTCTACGAATTTTTTTCTATAGAAAAAAATATCCGAATGAGGTCTACGAATTTTTTTCTATAGAAAAAAATATCCGACTGAGGTCTACGAATTTTTTTCTGTAGAAAAAA